ATATTAAAAAATTCTCTCTTTAAAAAAAAAAGTTACTTTAGACAGTGACATCTGACCTCAAGACCCCAGAGGAATAATAGACTGTGGTCTCTATAAAATAAAGTTTTACAACTTGGCAATATCACCCATCTCACAATATTATTGTAAACATTAAGCAAGATAAGGAAAAAGGATATGCATTTAACAAAGTGTAAAACAAGCTTAACACATTGTTGAAAATTTCATAACCACAGCTGGGGTTATGGCTCAGTGGTAGGGTGCTTGCCTAGAATGTGTGAGGGACTGGGTTCAATTCTCAGCACTGCATATAAATAAATGAACAAAATAAAGGTCTGTCAATGTATAAAAATAATTTAAAATTTTCATACTTAAGTAAAGTGATGTATATGGACACACACCCAGGTAAACCAGAACAGAAGTACCTATCTGAGTATAATAACTGACTGTAACAGAAGACTCTAAAACATAGTCATAATAATTTTAAAATGTGGAATCTCTGAGGGCAAACTGATGGGAAACAACATACTATTTGGTTTCCTATATGTTAAAAGAATGATATAGATTTTCTGGGTTAGTAGTAAGAAATATCATGTAGTCTGATCTCCCAAATCTGATATTTGGGCACCCATCAAATCCTTGGTCATGCTAGTACATATCTGCAATGGTCCAGAGTTCTTAGGCAACATATTTAATGTATTAGGCAATTTGAATAGTTATAAATTATTCAAATACAGTAAGAATCTGCACCACCTAGGTATCCAACATTTAGGTATCCAATATTTTTAAGAACCAAATTAGGATTTTTGGAAGATTAGTCAAAATATGCAAGATATATTGGCATATCAAACAGATAACAGGAAGCTTTTATAGCAGACCAGGCCAAGAATCCAGAGAACCTGACTTTGAATGCTGACATAAGAATGAAAAAAAAAATTCATGGACAGAATACAGGGCATTTTATTTTAAAAAAAGAAAACAGTATTCATGAGGCAAAAATGGTTAAGGCAAGTAGGAGGAATCACAGATTAATGAGATCAGAAGTCCTAAGAACAGAGAGGATCATTAAAAGAAGAAGACAAAAATAAAAGTTTGCTTGAGAAAATGTCAAATTAGTGCCTGAATTTAGGTGGCCCTCCATATCAATATGTTCTACATCTGCAGACTCAACCAAAGATTGAAAATATTCAGAAAAAAATATATATGTATTAAACATGTACAGACTTTTGCCATTATTCCCTAAATAATACAATATAATACTTATTTAGCCTTTATATTGCATTAGGTATGACAACTAGAGATCATTTTACAGAATATGGAAAGATGTGTGTCTGTTATATACAAATACTACACAGTTCTATAAAAGGAACTTGAGCATCAACAGACTTTGATATCTGAGGGACTTTGGAACAAATCCCATGCAAATACCAAGGGATGACTATATCGTACATGTGAATAGGACACCCAGATAGAGGAATAAAGCAAATCAGGTAAAAAGCATCTTGGAGCTCAGGAGAGAAGCCCAGGTACAGCAATATGAAGATGTGAGCTTCAAGGGGAAAAAAGTCAAGCAAGAAGGCCAAAGTCAGGCTCCTTAGCACGGGGAATACCATTTTTAAACCATTTAACCAAAGATCTGGAGCCATGTATGTGGAAGAGGAAGCCCAGAAGAAACTGGCTTACAATGAACTCCCTGGAGTATCTCCGATCTGAGCTAGTTCAAAGCAAACCAGTCCAACCCAGTACTGGTAACTGGCCAGAAGGAATCATGCAGCACAACATTGCATCAAGCCTTACCTTGGACAGATATACTTTAATTTGGCAAATTCCTTGGCACTGACAGCTCAGTCTCAACATAATAATAGTCTTACTTTCAATTCCTATCTCAGAAAAAAATAAAGCACATATTGTACATTCAACATTTATCTTTCTCAATCAAGTTGGCTCTGGTCATGGCTTCCTAACCTAGGCTCAAGGATCAAAGGGTGTAAGCGGCTTACTACAGTTAGATATCTACCCTGAAAAGGCCTATTAGCCCATACTTTGAAGTTAGGTGGTGAGTTTTATTTTATGTCTTATTTCTGAAGAGCTCAAAATTGGGATTTTTTTTTTTCCATTTGATTATAGTGCGTTTTCACCAAACAAACAGCTTATGGCTATTTCTCAAATGAAGAAGGCAGTGTGTGCATTCTTCTGCTAATGGTCCCTGTTGTGATCATTACTACCACAGTGACACAAATAACCAAATATAAGGGAGAAAATATATTTCCCCCTTTAAAGTATAATCTATCACAGAAGCTACTCAGGCTATCACCATGAACACAGTGATGACTTCCTTTAAGAACAGATGTGAACACACAATTTTGTTTTTACCAAAGTATAAGATCACTTCAACCATACTGTGACTCATTTCACTTTCCCAATTCTCCCTTTCCAATAGTAAATATTTTTCATTGACTTAACCACTTCACTGAATTACACAAGCCAACATATTTTAATAATGTGAAGTTGATTGATTTAAATGAAACTGGAATTGTTACTTTAAATTTCATCTTTTTTATACGGTCAGGTTCTTTAAGTATGTTTTCATAGAGTAAAACATCAGTCAGTTTGCATCTATGAAGACAATGTTCCAGGTGGGTAAACTGGGCTATTCCCATGTAGTCACACCATTAGTCCCCCCTAGTAAGAAGCATATGTGTGAATGAACTCTATTGCTGGTCATTGGCAAACTAGAAGGTTCTATTCATTTAAGAAATTGTCTCAGCAAAGTAATGGGTAAAACAAGACTCAGACTTGATTTTACCTGTAAAAGCCAGGTTCAGGGGCACCTCAATAACCCCCCAACACCTGATCAGCACTTTTTGCCTCTGAACAAAATGGTTCTAAATGGTATGAGCTCTGCAGAAACTGAAAACAGTCCATTGTTCAACCTGAGTTAAGACAACACAGAAATCAGAAAGGACAACTACACTACAAAGCTCGGTTTAAATTTCAACCCTACTGCTCTGACAGCTTGGTCTGGGCCTAAGGGCAGAAGGAGCCTTGGCTGGCTGTCACCAAGGCAGCTCCGGTTGCCACTTGCCCCTCCTTCTGAGTTGGTGAGGCAGAAGCCTTTGATGCTGCAGCCTTTTACGCACGTTTAAATGCTTTCTATTTAAATCATCTGATTCCACCGCGGGTAATTGCCGGCCTGTTTAGCCAGGAGCCGCCGCAAATGGGAGAGTTAGAATGAAACTGAGCAAATGGCACAGAGCTGAAGCCACTGCATCCTGCATCGGGTCCAGCTGCTGCGCGGTGCGACAGTAGTGGCCCTATAGCAGAGGTTACTCAGCGGAGGAGAGAAGTAGAAAAGGATGGAAGGGGCAAAGGTAGGAGTTTCCATTGATGCCTAAGCTCAGAGATTCCCGAGTATTCCACTTTCCCTAGGTCCTTGTATAAATTGTCCAATTCTTATATGGGGAAGCAGGGAGCACTAAGAAAGTGTTCTGAGCCCCAAGGTGGAAGCAGAAGTATCAGAGAGCCTGTAGGCAAAGAGCCCAGTGGCGCAGCATTGTGTGGACAATACTGCCCTCAAATCCTAAGGAACAGCTGGTACTACTGCGATGGGTTGGAGGATTTTAATGTCAGTAGTTAAATGGTCCCCAATCCCCAACACCTGTTCTGGACACTTAACTCCTTCCTTCCTAGGGAAAAGAAGTAACTGAGGTAGTCTTCCTGAGCTGTATGATGTGCCCAACTTACTTGCAAGCCCTGAAGAAAATGTCATTTCCTATCTCCCTCCTTTCCTTTGAGTTTGTCCGGCTGCACTGCCTGTTTAATAATCTACAACCTGGTTCCCGAGGACGGAAAAAAGCATTTCTTCCTGGAAGTCTACACAAGCTGAGATTTAACATATGGATGATGGACAGGTGCAGCTTCCCCATTAATTCCAAACAACAATGAAGAAGAAAAAAAAAACACCCATGATTGGCTCCAAAGTAGCTTTCAGCAGAGAAGTACTTTTCCAGTACTTCAATCTAGCAGCAACTTTTGCTGGGGTATGAGAATCCTTAAATACATATTTACTAATGTTTCTCCCTAAGTCCCTGGGTCCCAGAGATGGGGTGGGGGTGTCTACAGTAACTAGGTAAAACCCTAGAACAAAGAATTGTTATAGCATACACTTTTTTTTCCGGATGTCATTGCCAAAGCCTTTTTCTTAAATGTGATAGTGACAGATCTCCTGGTTGCTCTATTCACAGAGCCCAAGCAAGGACAGTCACACGCGGGTGACTGTCCCTATGATACCTTTCCGGGCTTCCTTCACAAGAATTCTGACGCACAACTAACTCATCCTGGGTCGGTCCTCACCCCTGAGCGATGGTGAGGAAAGATTCTCTCAACCTAGCAAACGCGCTCAAGGGGTGGCAGGATTTTTTTGAGATAAGGAGAGGGTTGTTTCAAGGGTCCGCACGGGGCCATCCCTTCGGGATCTCAGGACAGAAAGACAGAGATGGCTTCAGGTTGCAGCACTTTCCAGTCTTGTGCTCGGTGGGAATCCCCAGGAGCGGGAGCGCATGCTGGGGAACCCCTTGCTGCTCTACCCAGGAACTGCCTTTAAACCCCATACCCAAGAGGGTTGCTCTCCAGTCCCCTGGCAGAAAGGTGGGGAAATCAGAAGCGCCCAGTAGGAAATTCCCTCAGAGGCTACAAAGCCAGTGAGTGCGCCAGCCACAGAGACCACAAAGATACCGCCTCGGAAATGGAACACACCGGCAATTACCTGAACAGCCGCGTATGCTCCTACTAGGTGAAGAGTCACTGGTCTTGGAAGCTCTGGTCTCTAAACTTTCTGAGAGGACTGAAGATAAAGAAAGAAAAATGGCAAGTTTCCAGTGCAGGAGGACTAAAGCTTCCCTTGGCCGTGGCCAGTCTGTTCCCTGCTGCCACCTGAGAGCTTAAAGCGCACTCCCCCCGCCCCACCTTGGGAGCCAACTCTCTGGTTCTGTGAGCAGGGTTACCTGAGTCTTGCAAATCAACCAGCAATGTACAGCAGGTCTCAGGCGGGTAGTTCCATTTCCAGGAGGAGATGGCGAGCCGGCTTCTGAATAGGCGGGCTCAGACTTCCCGGGCAGTCAGAGAGGCTACCCAAAGACAAGAGCTGCTGGAAGAGGTGTGGGGAAGACTACGTCTCCCCAAGTAGCGGACAGAACAGCCCCGCCCGTTTTCTTCACTCCCAGTCCTAGCAAAACAGGACGCCAGGAAACTTCTCTCTGCTCCGGGATGACTTCTAGAGTTCAGCGGAGCTTTGTGGACTTTTTGAGGAGCTGGAGAGGGAGAGGTTAAGGAGGGTTCCTAAATCATTCAGCCCTTTAGTTAGGTGCAGCCTCCTGGCTAAGTGACTAGACTCTTAAGACGCCTGCCTCCCAGCCTCCTCCTCCTGAGCGACTTTGCTCAGGAGCAGCCTTCTTTCAGCCGCACCTTGCCTAGGCCAGGCGGAGCACGCCAGGACGCGGGCGCCTCAGCCTGTGGCCCTTGTGCCCCTCGGGAAGCAGGCACGCTCCAGAAGGGAGCAAACCCACCAACTCACCCTGACTGTAACGCAGGCGGCAGGTGTGAACTCTGCTGATCCCTCTCGCTCCTATGCTGCTCCAGTTTTTCAGGGGAACCCTTCAGCCAGTGTGCAAAAGCCCACACGCCCTGGCTCTGAAGAGGGAGCGGCGCCCAGGGAAGTGAACTCCAGGCTGGTCTCACATCCTGCCACCTCTGCTGCCGCCCCCGAAATATGCCTGGAGTAGTGGGTGGGAGGGTAGTGAAAGTCACCAAGCTCTGCGTCTTCGTCGCTAACAGTTTGGTGCCTCCTGGCTGACTGGTTGCAACCCGGAGGAGGTAGGAATTAGAACCGCTCTGGCGCGTCATGGAAAAGGGCTGCTTCTGTTGCTACCGCTACTGCTCCTCCTCCTCCTCCTCCTCTTCCACACCCCTTTGGATTGGGGAGCGCTAGGAGGGGAGGCAGAGTGAGGAGAGTGGGAAAAACTGCCAACCCCGGATCCCCCATCCCCTGGTTTAAAAACATGCTTCTCTTACCTTTCATGGGAGAAGGGAAGCGTGTCCCAGCAGCGCCGTCTAGCGTCCGTACCAGTGTAGACCGGCATGCATGGTTGGTGCAAGCATTCAAATGAGTGCAGGTGTGGAAAGTCACCAAAGCAAAGTTTTTCGGCTTTCCTGGTCCTCAGTTCCAGTCACCGAACAGGTACCCAGTTTAGTTAGGTATTCCCCTGCTTAGTTTCCCACAGCCCAGAACTCACTATTTTAAAGGTGCTGGCCACCTATTTTTTTAATTTATGAAGTGAGGTTACCATTGTCGGAAAGAACTCCTCTCCACGTAAAAGATTCATGAGTCTCAGGGTTCTGGGGTCCCACCAGTCATAAGAGTAGACAGGTAAGGAGCTGGAAGTGGGCTCACAGGTAGATTCAAGACCAAGATCACTCTTCCCAGTGCTTGAGTCTCTCCAGCCATGCTCCTGACCACCTGCTTTCAGATGTCACACAGCCCCAAACTCTCTTTAAGCGGTACTGGGCCTGGGGAGAGACAAAGACTCCGGAATCTGCAGAATCTAGATCGCAACAATGAAGAGTCCTGTTTCCGCCCCAGGTATCTCCTGGAGCATTCCCCTGGGCTCTCGGGTGCCGCGCTGATTAACACACTTAATAGGATTGCTCATTTAACGGGTCAGCTGAGCCCTGTGTGCCAGCATTTGCTGCTACACTAGGCTTCTATTAATTTGTCTTTATCTAAGCTTTCTCCAGCTGTTCTCCCCAGGCTGTTCCTTCGCTCTGCATTATCCACAGAAAGTGAGCCAGCAAGCGAGAGAAACGGAGACAGGGACCTGGAGGAAGTCAGCGCTTGGTGCTTGGTACGTGGCAAGCAGGTCAGACCCGCACCTGTCCAGTCCTGGCTTCTTTGAACGCTAGACCTCCGTTCACAGATCCACTCAACTTTTAATACTCGAGACTGTGCATAATTAAAGTTACTCTTCCTCTCGCACCTCTCTTGCCAACTTATTGATTCTTTTCCCCTTATGGACCAGGCTTCCAATCAGCTCTGGCTAAAACCCAATTTCCATGCAATTGGGGTTAAATCTAGAGAAGTCAGATGTGAAAGTAAAAGTCCTATAGACAGGCAGCAACCAGCAATACCAAGTTGCCCTCCCCCCGGTTTAGTTGTTTTCATGCTCAGGGAAAGTGGGCTGTATTTTTGAAACAGAAAATGTCCTGCAGTTTCTGTTTCATAACAGCTCATTTTCAGATAAAAGCACATTCTTCTAATGGGAGATAGCCAACCAATTCAATTCTCCCTTTCTCCTGGCTATACAGAACATGCAAACTTCCCTCTGCCTGGGTGCTTGCCCCGTGCAACCTTCATCACCACTTCCTTCCAACCTAGGGGGCCTATATTACTGTTACTGGTGCTTAAGGCTGTGAGGTGTGCTTCCAACTAGCTGGCTACCATAACGTGAGGTGAAATCCTCAGTGGAGGAACACAATCACCTCAAGCCTCATATTTCTGGTCAGGTCATTGGTGCATACAGTCTGGCTTTTAGCATAGTGCTATCCTGGGCCTTAGCTGAGCAGCTGGGCTATCATAAGTGAGACCATTTGGTCAATCCACAAGACCCCTCACATTAGGGTGTTCAGGAGCCAGCGGTCAGGGTAAGGGGAGCTAAATCAGGATACTACCCAGTAATATTGCCTATGCAAATTGTCAAGTGGACAATACATGCATTTGGGGAAATTAGAGTTTACAAAGATTAAATAATTTGCTCATGATCTTTTCTAACTTGTTTTTCTGCTGCAGCATACTACCTGGTCACTGGAAAATACAGGCTAAAATGTATACCTCCCCATTGAAAATGGGCATATACCCAGGCACAGTGCCATAGGCCTATAATCCCAACAGCTCAGGAGACTGAGACAGGAGGATTGTGAGTTCAAAGCCAGCCTCAGCAATCGCAAGGTGCTAAGCAACTCAGAGAGACCCTGCCTAAATAAAATGCAAAATAGGGCTGGGGGTGTAGCTCAGTGGTTGAGCACCCCTGAGTTCAATCTCTGGTACCCTCCCCCACCCTCCCAAAAAAGAAAAAAAAAATGGGCATATGGAAGTTTAGTTTTTCAGGGGCTTGGGCTATTTTACTCAGTTGATAGAGTGCTTGCCTCGGATGCACAAGGCCTTGGGTTCAATATCCAGCATCACACACACACACAAAAAAAAAAGTTTAGTTTTTCAATTTAGGACTCTATTTTTTTTCTACTTTCATCCTCCTCCTTTTTCCCTAGAAGCAAAAATGAGAGAGGCAAAAAACATGAGCCCAAGTGTACATATGCACATAGAAAGAAAGCTGAATATATGTCTGCCATTTTGCTTTTTGTTGTGTACTCCTCCTTACTGCTTTCTTTTGAATTAAGTAAATATTTTCTGTGTAACATGTAAATTCCTTTTATAATATTTTTCATTATATTTTTATTTACTTTCATAGTGGTTGCTCTAGGCATTATGAAACACATCTTATGATCTAGATATATTTTTCTTAATCCCAATGATATATAGAATTGTTAGTCCAATATAGCTCTGTCCCATGTTCATTTTTGTACTATTATTATGCACCTATTACATATATAAGCCCGACAATATATTGTTATAATTATTACTATTAGTCATTTTATATCTTTATGGAAGTTGAAAAGAAATGAAAGCAAATATATATATTTTTTAGTTTGTTCTGGTATATTTGAGTTACCATCTGGTGCCGTTTCCTTACTCTGATACAATATTGCTCCCATCCATTTCTGATTTTTGTCAAAAATATTCTATTTCTATATCATTGGGCAAAACCACATTTTAATATAAAATTTTACAGTACTTTTGCTGTTTAAATCAGGAAAGACAAAAAAAATAAATATATCTTTATATTATCTTATATAATTATGTTTTTTCATGTGTATTCATGTTTTCACTTGCTTTCGTGCTAACAATCTCAATTAGCATTTCTTAATTTCCATGCAAAAAATTCTATTATTTTTTTAAATATTTATTTTTTAGTTGTAGTTGGACATAATATTTTTATTTTGTTTACTTGTTTGTATGTGGTGCTGAGGATAGAACCCAGGACCTCGCACAAGCTAGGCAAGCGCTCTACTGCTGAGCCAAACCCCAGCCCAAATTCTCTTGTTATTGATTAATCTTGGAATGTTGTATTTTGCATTATTTTTGAAAATATTTTTTTAGTTGTAGATTGACACAATACCTTTGTTTTATTTATTTATTTTTATATGGTGCCAAGGATCAAACCCACTGCCTCACAAGTGCTAGGCAAGCACTCTACCACTGATCCACAACCCCAGTCCTTTTGCATTCATTTTTAAAGCTAGTTTTGCTGCATATGAGATTATTGGTTGATATTTGTTGTCATATTTTTCCTTTCCACACTTTGAATATATCATCCTGCTCTCTTCTGACCTCTATATGTCTAATGAGGAATCAATAACTTACTTAACTTATTGATGTTTCTGTATATGTGATGACTTATTTCTTTTGCCACTTTTAAGGTTTTTCTTCTTTGGTGTTTAAAATTTTTATTATGTATCTGTATGTGGGTTGCTTTGTTTATCCTATTTGAAGGTAATTTGAGTTTCTTAGATATGTAGATTAACACTTTTCTTCAAATGAGGGAGCTTTTCAGCCATCATTTCCTGGAATATTTTGTTCTGCTCTTTCCTCTCTGTCTTGCCCTCCTAGTATTCCTAATTTAGTGTGCTCAATATCATCCCACATTTCTCCAAGGTTATTTTTTTTCCATTTTTCTCTGTTCTTTGGACAGTATTACATCTATTAATCTATCTTCAAGTTCATTGATTTTTTTTTTGTTCTGCCTGCTCAAGACTACTATTGAACTTTTCCAATAAATTTTTCATTTTGGTTACTGTACTTTTCAACTCCAAAATTTCCACTTGTTTCTTCTGTCTTACAATAATTTCTGGGGGCTGGGGCTCAGTGGGAGAACACTTGCCTAGCATGTGTGAGGCACTGAGTTCAATTCTTAGCACCACATGTAAATAAATAAAATAAAGGTCCATTGAAAACTAAAAAAAAAAAATTTAAATGATTTCTGTATTTTTGCTGGTATTTTCTATTTGACTCCACATTTTCATTCATAGCTTTCTTTACTTTTTAAATCATAGTTTATTAATCTAAGCATATTTATATTAGCTTCCTTGAAGTCTTTGTTACCTCTGACAACTTAGCCCTTTCATAGGCAGCCTCTGCTGCCTTTAGGTGGTAGTGATCTCTTCTTCCTATTATTGTCATTATTATTCCTGCATACGGATAATACCTTCCTTTTTTTCTTTTTTGCATATACTGCAATTTTTTTGAAAACTATACATTTGAGTTAATAGACTGTAGCAACTCTGGATGCCAATTTCACTCCCTGATGCTTGGTTTTTGTTTTTGCTTGCTTGTTTAACAACTTGGCTAGGCTATTTTAATGAAGGCTATATTTCCCATAACATGCAATTTTTGTATCATTTTCCTCAAAGGATATCACTATGGGCATACACACAGTCATAGTGGGATTATTGTAGTTTTAGCAGAGATCTCTTTCACTATTTCCATCTTTGTTAGGCTGTGTGCCTTGGATTACAACCAAGTATCAAGCTCCACTACTTAGACCTGATTTGTCTATCATTTTCAATAATGCACTTACATAAATTGACCTAAAGTCCATTCTAGTTAAATTTGGACAGGAATGGTTTTGTTGTCATTGAGGTTTGTTCTTACCCCAAGCACACTCCTCTTAGGTGAATATTTCCTTGCTTCCTTCTAGGAAACAAGACACCCTATGGTTTAACTTCTATCCTCTTACATGTTTATATCCAAAATCTCCATTGTTTCCAAGAGTTTCTTATGTATGATCTTACCCATACTCTGTTCCAATAAAGTTAGCTCCTTTTAGAAATCTTCAGAGATTTCTGTTCTTATGTACTGT